TTATATTTTGTGTATTTGTTGCAAGTAATCTTGCTCACAAATTCACAACTGGAAGTATAGGATATGCAATTTTGGTCTTAGCAGTTGTCTTCACAATCTATGTTAGTTTCCTCACACTTTATTTTATTTGTCCTGTAATATTTTTATCATATGCGGGGAAAAGTTCCGGTATTACTTATTTCCTTCTTACTTTCATCAGCAGAACTCTGCCTGTAACTTCCTGTTTATGTTTCTGCAAACATCCCCAGAGCATCCACCTCTTCTGTTTATGTTTTTTCAGCTGCCCTTGATTTTCCTAGCACCTGATAACTGTCAAGATTGTTTCCCACTTTCCTGCTATGTTTCTCTCAGACTCTCCAAATGTTGTTGCACCCATGTCGAATCCTCCAAGAATGCCTACTTTTGGAGGATCCAACATGCAGCTGTCCATATTTTTGAAGAGTCCAAGCAACATAGTTTATATGTGATTAATGTGAAAAATCATGTGCTTGTTGCAATAGGTCTTGTTTCTTCTACTTTCGACATCAACCAAGGATCCTGGCATTGTTCCACGCAATTCTCATCCTCCAGAGGAAGTATCAGGTTATGATTCTTCAGCTTCCATTGATGTTGGGAAGCCTTTGCCTCGCACCAAAGAAATCATTGTAAATGGTTTGCCAGTGAGAGTTAAATATTGTGAAACATGTATGTTGTATCGTCCACCAAGATGCTCTCATTGCTCAGTATGTAATAACTGTGTGGAGCGGTTTGATCACCATTGCCCTTGGGTTGGTCAATGCATTGGAAAGGTAATGAATCTTCCTGCCACAGGTTATTCTTTTCTCAATTTTCTTTTGTGATTCCACTTTATATTCCTTTTCTTTATATAACTACCTCTATGGGCTCATCATGAAGATGAAGCTGCCACCTTTGCTATTGCTTTTAAGAAATTCACTTCAGCTTCAAGTTTTGCTGCTTTGCCGAAAAATATCAGCGGTGTTTTAGTTGATTAGTAGTTGTAGAAGTGCTTACTTTATGTGTATAAGCTGCTTTTTGTTGAATTGACTGATTGGCTTCTGTAAGCTTTGGCAAGTCTGGTAGGTGTGGGAATTAGCATTTGTGCTGTATGTTTCTAGCCTTTCATCTCATAGATGTGTATTGTGCAACCCTTTGTATACCGAAAACTATTTTAGTTAAAGCATAACCCAATATTAAGATAGGTGTATTATTAAATGTACTGATTTGAAAATATGTCATTTTAAAATACTCCCTCCATTTCAATTTGTTTGTCTGATTTGACTTGGGCACGGAGTTCAAGAAAGAAAAGAATTGTATCTTGTTGTCTTAAACTAAAGATATGTAGAATGTATCAAAATCTCCATTAATCTTGTGGTCTTAAACATGCCATGTTGAAATTTAGAATTAAGGAGTTGCCAAAAAAGGAAAGAGGCATTCTTTTCAAAACGGACTCAAAAGGAAAGTAAGACAAACAAATTGAAAGGAAGGGAGTAAATCTTTACTTAAGACTGTGCTTATGTTATAATTAATGAATGGAGAAGATGCTCTAAAAGAAGGGATAATATGATGAAGCAATGGTGAGGCAGGACATTTAGTCTAAGGAACAGGCAGGAGAAAAATGTAGTATGCCTTCCCTGTTTTGTGCTTATGTGGATGTAAATAAAAAGTCTATCCGAAAGAACTTCACTTGCTACTTTTAGCTGCACCTTGTTGGCCTCTTGAGAATCATTTCTTTCTTTTTTGGTGTACAGCGCAACTATCGTTGCTTCTTCCTATTTGTTTCTTCAACTGCTCTCCTCTGTGTTTACGTCTTTTCGATGTCGGCATTATATCTTAAACTTCTTGTGGATGATTATGGAACTGCTTGGAAGGCTATCAAAGTATCGCCAGCTTCAGTGGCGCTGATGGCTTATTGTTTTGTTTCGCTGTGGTTTGTTGGAGGTCTCACTGGCTTCCATTTGTATCTCATAAGTAGAAATCAGGTTACTCTTTTACACCTCTTATGTCAATATATAATTCAATTCTCATTTGCTTTAGTTTGCAAGTTTAATAATTGCAGTACTGCTTTAGTTTCTATATGCTTGATCATTCTTTTTTGCTTACAAACACGCGTCTCTCTAGCTTCAGCATGTTGGAGTCAATAATTTGGATGTGTAGGAATGTTCTACAACCATACTTTTTTCAAGACAGCTGTTAGGGAATACTTAAGACATGGTCGATTCAAATTATGTGAATTGGAATGACTGATCATAAAACTCATTGAGCTATCTATGTCGTATGCTTGGTCATTTGTTTATAATCAATTAATTGGACTGGTTTGTTTTGAATTGAGATTTAAATGGTCTGCTGTTGAGTGCATTGTCATATTCCCATCACCCTGTTTTACGAAACAATGTCAAGAATCGACTTGTCAGAAGATAAAATCTTTCGTGGCTGTCAAATGATAGATTCGACAGTTGATTTGATGTCACTATGTTCTTGTTCATTCTTTTCCCCATGCATAATTTTGATTTGTTTTAGTTATATTCAACTCCATAGACCACATATGAGAACTTCCGTCACAGAGGACTAAGAGGAGACAACAGGATCAATGTGTATTACCGCGGTTGCATGAACAGTTTTCTTGAAGTATTCTGCTCAAAGATAGAACCTTCAAAGAACAATTTCCGCGGATATGTACATGAAGGGGCATCAAAGACTAGTAAAGGTGGCAACATTCAAGTAACAGAAGTTGACATTTCTGATGAGGATAGAAGAGTGAAGGTAGAAGATGATCTTGAGATTGGAGATGATCTGATAAAGATATCCCAACGACGTAACTCTCAAGATATTGGTGATATTAGAGGTAGAGGAAGTGACAGGTCGCCCATAAGTCGTTCTGAGCTTGACTTTGGATTTGGTCTAGAGTCACAATTTTCGTCCAGGTCTGAGAGTCGCCATTCTGGCTGGTGAAGATAAAGTGAAAGGAACAGGTCCTTTTATATTGCCATCTTGCCAAAGCCATCTACTGCAATGATTTTGCAGTCAGTTCCGAGATTTGAAATGTGATATACATTACCGTGGCTAGCCATGAAAGTGCATCTCCAGTGCTCTTTCTTGGTGTCATTCTGGCTCAACCTGTTTTCGTGGTGGACGAGACCAGGCACAGAACAGCTTTATCACAAGACACCGATAATCTGCTGACTTATATAATGTCTTTTGCTGGTTATTATTTCTTGAAAGAACTATGGACATATGTCAAAAGATTTTGAAAATGTATACATCTAGTCATTCTTTTCCTATTACTCCTATATGGATTGCACTCTGGAAATTCCTATTTCCTCTGTCCTATTTTATGTGTCCGAAGGGAATTGAATCCTCATGTGCTTAACTTTTATGTTCTGATCGAATCTGATGCGTTACTGCTGGTATGATCGCATCTTCACTTTGGAAATTTTGTTTTGTTTCTAGCTATACTTGTTCAGAATGGAAAAGTGTTAGGATATTGAATCATTTTTTTTAAAACAAAAAAGGGATTAAAATTACCCCTAAACTATGCAAAATAGTTTTGTGATAAAAATAAATTATCTCTGACGTTATCTCAAGAGATCACAAATACTTTCAAAAGTTAATAACCTAAATTTTTAGTGACGTGGCAAGCCACATGAGACAAATCTCTCCACCTGAACATTGCCAAATAGGATTCTCTACTAGAAATAGGACCTTTAGCAGCGACAAAAGTCACCACTAAAGGTTATCACTAATTTTTAGCATTAGATTATAAGAATGATTTTGTGTTTTTTTTTCTTTCTAACAAGGAAATTGTTTTTTAAAAATCACAAATAATGTCAATCAAGGAGAAGTTTGAAGACACTTTATGTTTTATTTTTATGTCATGTTTAACTGCATAAAATATATTATTATATTAATAGGAGATTCGAATTGAGAAGTAAATTTTGGTGCTTTTCGTAACTAGAATTTAGTAACTAATTTCTTTTTTGTTGAAAAAATAAGTTTTAGTGGCGACTTTAAGTTGCCACTAAAAATCAATTGTTATTTGCCTTTAATGAAAATCTTTAGTGGCAATTATGAGATTTCATGGCCATTTTTTGTTGTCATTAAAGGTCCAATTTCTTGTAATGAATTCTAGTTGGCAACACTTAGGTGGAGGAATTAGTCTCACATGGCTTGCCACATCATTAAAAATTTGAATTGTTAACTCGTGAGGGTATTTGTGGTCTCTTGAAATAACAACAAGAGTTTTTTTTTAATCTCAAAATGTAATGAAGAGTATTAATAGTCTATTTCACATAACTTATAATATAAATAGCAGGTTCTATCCAACTCAATTCCTCCTAGACATGATATAAAACTATATGAAAATATCACAAATTTTAAAAGAAACTAAATTTACACTCATAATTTGTTAAAAATATAATAAATTTAATGAAAAAAATTAAACATTAAATTTATAAAATTTAAATCATACATTCACCTAATATTAAGCAATCACACACACTAATATGTATTTGTTTATGGAAAATAACTTCTCTATCTTATAATGATAGCATCTGCATATTTATTACTTTTATAAAATTTCACTTGTAAAATTACATCAAATATATTATTATTCATGTTGTATATACTAATGCGTATTGAAAGAAATTATTTGATAGGAAGGATAAAGAATAATAACTCCGCGATAAAAATGTGTAATTAAGTGAAAATAAAGTCTTTGCAACATTATCTCCTAACCCCTTGTACAAGAAAACTACATTGAAATTGAAAGAAAAGAGAAAAAGGAGAAAAATACAAAAGCAGCATAGACTCAAAAAAGCAGTAAAAGAGACCATCTTCAACACTCCATACTCTAACTTTCTCTCTCTTAGGGTTCACGTCGATCGAATTTAAAATGGTAATCTACTATTCTCCTGTTGAATTTCTCTGTATTTTCATTCGATTCAGATCTCATTTCGGTATATTCAATGTTTTATTTTGTTCAATTTTGCTCAATTTCAGGAAGGTGATAGGAATTTGGAGGCGAAAATAGAGATACTGTTGAATGTGGAGAAGCAGATGAGGCAAGCGGGAGATGTTGCGGGTACGAGGAAATCCGCCATTGATATTCTTCAGCTCTGCTTTGAGGCTCGTGCATGGACTACACTTAATGAGCAGATTGTTCTATTGTCTAAGCGTCGTGGACAATTGAAACAGGTATCGTTTTTCTTATTACTATATGTGTGTCCTTGTAGCAGAATGTAATGAGCCTGAATAGACTGAGATTAGTGTGCTGAATTTTGAAAATGTCAGTCAGTAAGGAGGACAATAGGTATTAACACATTTAGAAATGTTGAGCTATAACAAAATGCTTGTTCGTATGTATATATATGGATCATATGTTATTGGGAATTTTGAAAAATAATAAATAAAAAAATGATTCGCATTTCGAACAGGCATGAATACAACATCTATAGGATAACTTCCATCAGTAAGGAGGACAATGTGCATATTTAGAAGTATTGAGGTATAACAAAATGCTTGTTCATTTATATATGTATCTTATGTTATTGGAAATTTTGAACTAGCATTAGAATTGTCAGAAATGAATAAATGCTTTTCAATCCCTCTTGCCCTCAAAAACAAAATTTATCCTATCTAGTTCTGTTTTCCAATTTTTCCAAATCTTGTCGGACTGCACTACCAAATGATTAATTGTTTTTTTAAGGACATACTTCAGGGAAGAGCTGTCAAAATCCCACTTTCACTTGGTTAGTTTGAAGTTCATGAAAGGAGTATAAAGGATTTATTGATACCTTTTTTTCTTTCAAACATGTAGGGATTTTATGAATGTCAAAGAAATTATTCATTCCTTAGTGTGTAGATCAAAACTCTATGTTGTGAACAATTGATATCTTTGGTTTAATAAGTGAGAATTGGAAAGGAAGGATAATTGAAAACGGTGAGGGCCTGAGGGAGACTTTAATGCAGACTTCAGTAAAATTGGTTTGCACCGTGTTGGTGCTTTCTAATGTTTGCTTACTTACCTATCAGAAATAATCATTAAAAGTCATACACATTTGTGTAGAGGAGAGGATTTTCCTTTTGTGTAGTTCATTCATCATTGGCATGATCAGATGTGTAATGTGGTGACATGTATTTGTGTTAATGCTTGGCTACTAATCTATGTTGCTCGGACTCTTCAAAAATGCCAATGGGTGCATGTCGGATTCGCCAAAAGTAGTGTATTTTTGAAGAATCCGAGAAGGGTGCGGCATCAAAAGTGAAGAGTCCGCGCAACTAAGCTACTAATCATGTGCTTATTTGCCTTGGAAAGTTTGATTACCATGATACTGTTGAATATATGCTCCTGTCTGTTGCTTATACCAAGTGTGTATGTGCACAGCCGTTCTTTACATAGCATATTGTATGTGGAACTATCCATTGGTATGAGAAACCTGTGAGACGCGGTGTTTCTCCCGTGGGGATGGATGATCTCATGGTTTTGTCTGTCCTATACCACTGTATAATAATGTTGTTAAGTGTTCTTTAATTTGGACTTGTGCAGGCTGTACAGGCCATGGTCCAACAAGCAATGCAGTATATTGACCAGACACCTGATCTTGAAACTAAGATAGAACTCATCAAGACCCTTAACAATGTAGCTGCAGGAAAAGTAAGAATTCTTTTTGTCTGCTTTTTTATTGTTGTTATTTTAGATTAGAACAGTATGGTTCCTTTTGTCTTTTTTTCCCACCGAGCGACTTTAATCTTGCATGTAGATATATGTTGAAATTGAGAGAGCCCGTCTGATTAAGAAGCTTGCAAAAATTAAAGAAGAACAAGGACTCATTGCCGAGGCTGCTAATTTGATGCAAGAAGTTGCGGTCAGTATTTGTTGACCTTCTCCTTGGTGACTTCTTGGTCTTTTTGCTCTAGTGATCAGTGTCAAACTGAACAACAGTTTTTATTGGAAGCTTTTTGGGATTTACTTACTTGCAATGTTCCCATGGATGGGTATGTTGATGGACAGGTTGAAACTTTTGGAGCAATGGCAAAAACAGAGAAGATTGCTTTTATTCTGGAACAAGTATGTATTATTGATCCCTCTCTTTCTACAGAAAACTGAAGCATGACTTTGGGTTTGTTATGTAATGCTGAACTCTGCAGGTGCGTCTCTGTTTGGATAGTCTAGATTATGTGCGTGCACAAATACTCTCAAGAAAGATCAATCCCAAAGTGTTTGAAGCCGATCCTTCTAAAGAAAAGAAGAAACCAAAAGAAGGTGATAATGTAGTCGAAGAGCCTGCTCCAGATATTCCATCATTGTTAGAGTTGAAGCGGATTTACTATGAATTGATGATTAGGTGAGTTATGATTTTATGTGGAGTGTACCCTCGAGTTATTTTTTTCTTGATTTTGATGATAACCTAGACCATTCTTACCCTAAGCGCTCAGGGGCTCACCATATTTATGCCAAACTCATAATTTGAACAGATTAATAGTTGTAAACTTGTAGTTGATGGCTCTATCTTTTTTTTTTTTTGATAACCGAGAAATCCGTTTGTGACCCGCCCTTTGGACCAATCACAGCCTTCTAAACTCGGTGGATAATGGGCCCGCCCCTTTACCCTTCTCCACTTAAATACCGGGCTTTGCTTTGCATGGTGTGGGGCTTGAACCTGCGACTTAAGCCACAAATCCTCCACCTTTTGCCACTTGAGCTAGGCCTTGTTCACTGATTATTGTACCAGGTCCTAATTTGAACGGATTAGTGTTGAAAAAAATTCACTGACTTGCTTCTTAGTTGATTTTCAATGCATCCTGACCTTTGGATGTTCATTGCGCATTTTACTACTGAATAAGGTTAACATGTGCGTTCTGTGAAAACTTTATGACTCTCCATATTTTTCTGATGTTTGTTTGTCTTGTTTTTGTAGTGCTTGCCCCATTGCAATTGAATGTGTTCATAATGTGCATTCCAGTGAAACATTTTGACTGTCCTCATTTTGCTTATAATTTGGTTTGTCTTATAAATGAATTTGGATTTCTTGCAATTTTTTGAAAGTTAATCAGCCTTATGGTGGTGGGGTTTGACAATTATACAATGTAGAACTTGTTACTGTTATCAACTATTCGGTAACATCAAGGGAAATGCTGATACTTGCCTTGTACACAAAAGATTTATATTTTCCATAAGGAGATAATATTCATTCTTGTGATGTTATGCCAACCTCATTCAAATTCTGCAAAGATGTGTATTTGAGAGCGATAGTTCTCATTTCCTGTCTTTTAGGATTATTTTTTTGTTATGAATGGACTTCAATTCCAGTAATGAAATGGTCTGATTGAAAAGGCTACATTACTTATTCCAATTAGTCTGGAATTGATGCATAGTGAAAATGTTGCATTCCCGATCCCAGCTAGTTTGGAATTAAAGCATAGTTGATTGATTGATCGATTGGACTTTCCAGTTTCATCGTAAGATTGCACTGGGACTGGAATATTACGCTGTTAGAAGGTCAATTATACTTCTTTCTAAACTAGTTTTTCCCTCCAAAATCTTTTTGGCATTGGTTTTCGCTTGCATGATAATCGTTAGTATGTGGATTCTGTCATCCATTTGAGAGAGTGGCAAAAGGTATATTTCATAAATCTAAATCAACCTTTGTGATTGGCTTAACCCCTCCTCTCTTTCAAGTCATTCTTCTACCTTGTAATTGATATCATACTCGAGCAGGACGCTCTGGCTTACCTGAAGCTGAGGATTTTAGTCTTGATCCTCTGGTTAACCTAATGGGGAACTTCTTAAGCCATGGAAAGATTGACTATTGGGTTCATCCCTGAACAGTTAGAAAGTGACTAACAGTGACCTACACTTCATGAGAACAGCATAAGCTATTCAATCTGCCATTATGACCTTGTTAAAATCAGAGCTCTTCAAGTTCAGGCCTGGTTGTGAAGTGGGAAATTCCTTTCCAACAAAAGTCTCATGCCCTTCAAAGAAAGTTTTATGTGTGAGTAGGCTCACTGTTGCAAGCACTTAATCATACCTGGATTACTTCGTCTTTGATTTACAAGTTTGTCAATTCTATTACTAGAAAGATGGAGACTGCTGTTGTTGCATCTGGAACTTTTCATTGTATTTGTATGTCTTTAACTTGTCACAATAATTACTTTTATCCCGATGCTGCAGGTATCACTTTCAGAACAATGATTACCTTGAGATATGTCGCTGTTACAAGGCCATTTATGAGATCCCTTCTGTAAAAGAAAACCCAGCACAGTGGATACCAGTAAGCCTAATTCAGTTATATTTTTGAGGTGCTATGGTAATCTGTGCAACTCATATGCAAATCTTCTTTTTTAAAGATTGCATCCTTGAATTATCATCTTAAACAGAGAACTAATGTATAACATCAACACGCGATATTAAGTGTCAATGAACATTGGTGACACAAGTAAAAGAAGGTTTTGAATGTTAATGTACTTAATCGATACCGAGATCTTCCTTTTTCTGACATACGGAAATGCATTAGTTTTGTAAAGAAGAAAAGAAAGTGAAATTTTGTTGTTTTGCTCAATTTTTTGAGATACTAATTGAGCTGGCAATGTGCTTTAGATAATTGGCTGCTATGTTACTCAGACTCTCCAAAAATGATTCCGCACCCGTGTCAGATCCTTCACAAATGTACTACTTTTGAAGGATCCGACTGATACCCGTCAACATTTTTTAAGGATCCGACACACACCTGTCTACATTTTTGAAGAGTCCGAGCAACATAGATTGGTAGTGGTGGATGACAGTGGAAGACTGGAAGTTGGTGGTGGTTGTAAATTGGCACTGGGAAGATTAGTAAAAGGTTGCCTTCACAGAAGTTTTTAAGTATATGTTTTAATGATTTTGAAACTATATCTATAATATATGAAAGAATCAGATCTTCAGAGCAAACAGTTGTAAAGAATAATAAATGTACTTAAGTGGGTTGATATATGAATGATTTGGATTCAAACCTCCACTAAGCGGAAGCAAACTTGGCCTTTGTTTTTTTTTTTGAAAGTAGTAATGTTGTATTCCTCAACATTAAGGATATGCTGGTGACCTCCAAAAATTCGTACATAGAGGGACTAGGAAGGCTAATTACAAAGATCCTATATCTACTAGTTGCTCGACCTCCTCTATACATTCCTGTTTACACCAAAAACAAGGCCTTTGTTTTCTGCATATAGTCTGTTTTAAGCTAAGAAAGAAAGAGAAATCCTTCTCATTTGTCAGGAAGATGATTGGGAAAAAGAAATAAAACGAAGGAAACACTTTATTATATGCTTGTTCAAGTCCATCCCTTTCTGATGAATTAGTGCTGGCTTTTCTACTCCTGAAACAATTTCTTTAGAAATCAATAGACATCTATGCTAAGTTGATAGTTTTAAAGAAATTGTTAAGATGTTTGAGGGGCCAATTAACATAGAGCAACCTGGTATATTGGGAATAAAATGTGTTGTATGATGGACATATCCAATATGTTCAGAACTTAAACGGCAAACAGTTCCTACTTAAGTGGAGCTTGAGTTAATGCATTTCCCCCCAAATTGATAAAGAAAGGGATTGCAATAATAACCAGATACATCTAGTTCAGCTTTGTCAAAAAGATCCAAAAGAAATTTTTGATTACGTGCTACTTAAGAGCTACACGATAAGCTGAGCCACAGGATCTCTGAATACCCCTAAATTATTCTGAATCCTTTTTCTATATTATTCAGGTGCTGAGGAAAATTTGCTGGTACTTGGTATTGTCACCGCATGATCCTATGCAATCAAGTCTTCATAACTCAACTTTGGAGGACAAGAATCTTTCAGAGATCCCTCATTTCAGGTTCTGTTGATAACCCTACTTGCCCAATTTTGTTATGGAACTGAGGATAAGCAATTATCTCTCATTTGTCCATAGGAGCTTATGGGGAAAGATGTTTCCCAAATCTTTCCAACCATCATCAGCACCCTTTCTGGAAAATATCCTTCCTTCTGTATCAATTGTCATTAGGTTGTAAAGTATTGTGATAAAGTGGAGAAGAAACCCCATGATTGAGCTTACATATCTCTTTATGCAAGCTAGATATGAATTTTCTACTGTATGATAATAATTATCTTTATCAAAGTAAAATTGTGTTTGTTCTCATAATGACTTGAATACATAGTCAAGATTAGATGCAATCAACCTGAATGTTTGATAATTTTTAGTGTGCATCTGTCTGAATAAATTGAGTAGTGAGTCTGCCCTTTTGTGGACTTAAAGAATATCACTCTTTACTAGGCCGCTTCTTCAGCAAAATATTGTTTCTGTACAAGTACTAAAAGAAGATTATCATAACATAATTATCTCTTCTAAAGTAACAAAGTATAGTTTCTCAAAACTGCTGTTTTTAAGTAAAACCTCTACAAGAAGGTATCATGTATAATATAGTAACTAGTTTAGTGGTGAGGCTGCTCTTTATGAACTTTTAGCACACATTATTGATTACCATCAATAAAAAAAATGTTTTAATTTGATTATTAATGCCTTATTAACAAAGTTTAGTTTTGAAACTTTTGTTTCGAAGTATAAATTCTGTAGGAAATAATTTGCAATGGCTTTGGAAGAATTAGCCATATGGTATTGTTGGCATCATCTTTAGTCTCAAATTATTAACCTGGAAGCGAAATAATTGAATTTTTTCTCATCTTTTATGGGACAGCTACAGTATGAAAATTTGCAATTTTCCTCTTTCCTTCTGCTCCAGTAGGCAAACAGTTTTGGCCTAAGGTTTATTAGTATCTGCCTTTTCTTTTGTTTTAGGCTGCTTCTGAAACAATTAATTACCATGGAAGTCATTCAATGGACATCATTATGGAATACTTTCAAGGATGAGTTTGAAAATGAAAAGAATATGCTTGGTGGCTCTTTGGGTGACAAGGCAGCTGAAGATCTCAGACTGAGAGTTATAGAGCATGTAATACCCTATGCTGCAAGTCTCTGTTTTGCTCCTTTTAATGGCTTCTATTGATTCATTTTTCCTATGATTATTTCCTTGCAGAACATTCTTGTTGTCTCAAAATACTACTCAAGAATAACTTTGAAGAGATTAGCAGATTTATTGTGCCTTTCCATTCAGGTTGGTATTCATGGTTCCTGATTCATTATACATCACATCTGAGATGTTCTTTTATACATTTTACTATTGAAATATATATAAATTTCCTTAAGATTAATTCTCTACTGCAAAACATGTATGCTGCAAGAACATTGTGAGTAAAATTTAAAAAACCCCCAAACAAATAGCATTGTAACTGTTTTCTTTCCCCAGGTGTCGCTAACATTGTATCTTGAAAAATCTGTGTTGTAGCATACATCACTAGCACTTGTATCTCTCATGGATAGCGTGAAAATTATGCTCCATTTTTGCAGGAAAAGGAAAAAAAGAAAAGAAAAGAAAATCATGATGTTGTGAATAATAAACAGTTGACTTGAATTACTGTGAGAGCTACTAAAAGCTCTCAAATTAGAGCCCTCTTGATAGCTAGTCTTTAAATTTAGATTTTAATAGTACCCCAAATTCCAAAAGCTCCATTGTCAATTAATATTGCTAGTATAGATAGGTAATAGTTTGAGTGGGTTTAAAAACTGAAAACTGTGATCTGTGGCTGCCTAAGTAAACTATTTCATCACTGGAGAATGTCTGCTATCCAGTTCCACATGATCTTCCTGATCATCTTGTGTATCCATCTGATCCGATTGAGATTGCGTGTTTTACTCATTAACATCTGGTGATCCTCATCTTTTGTTCTCTCATCTCAGGAGGCCGAAAAACACCTTTCAGAAATGGTTGTATCAAAAGCACTTGTCGCAAAGATTGATAGACCTGTGGGTATAGTCTGTTTTCAACCTGCAAAAGACAGCAATGACATACTAAATTCCTGGGCTTCTAATTTGGAAAAGCTGCTTGACCTTGTTGAGAAGAGTTGCCACCAAATTCACAAGGAGACAATGGTGCACAAAGCTGCAATAAGGGCTTGAAATATTGGCAGGACTCCAAAGGTAGCTCATCAATTATGGTAATTGATATCAAGGAGCAGTTTATGTGACAAAACTGAAATCGTTTTCCAGTCTGGCTGCCCGACCCTCAAAGTGGAAAAAGCTCGTAGTATCAATCCTTCCACTCCTGTTATCTTCATCTGCCTGCTCGCTTTCCTCAACTTCCCTGGCTTAAACTTTTTCTTGTTTTGTATTCTCTTGACGCTGCTTTATTCATTGTTATCAACAACGTTTATCAGCGATGCTAAGAGATCACAGGTTAATATACTCCTCGAGTTATTCATCAAATAGTATCAGATGATGATTGAAAAATATATTAGGTTGTGATACATTTTCGACCTTTTCATTTTCTTCAAGTATTTGCATGCTAAATATTTTTATTCCATTGTGGAATATAAGCCCGTTTAGATAACACGTGCATTCACGAGTTTCTTGTCGCGATGAGGATTATTTACTCAAGAGTATGTCAAGGTGTTTGTTTATACATGCATTTTATACGATTTTATATTCTATCGAGCATTTGGATTGCTCCAACTAGCACCCTAAGCTGGGTATTTCCCTCCTTGTGTTGTTCCATCCACGAGAAAGATGCACAGAAGAGGTATTTTCAGGAAGAATCCAATTGAGACTTGGATTGCTCCATCTAACTCATTTCATGTGAGACTTTCTTTTTCAACTTATCTCAAGAAGATTATTGTGTTTTAATTTGTATTTGAGAACTATTTAATCTTAGCAACCACATTTTACCTTTAATAACATTTGTTAGGACCAGCTTGATCACCTCTTATTTACTTGTTTCTAATGAATACAATTATAGTATCTTTCATATATTAAGATAGTTGTGTACTCAAAAGCTTTAATTTCTTTTGATTCTTATCTAGTTAAATACCTACATATGGAATATGGATGACAAAGTTTATGCTATAATCATCAACTTGTATATTCTTTGGTAAAACAAAGAAATTTCCAAAAATAACTCTCATTTTATAAGCTCCCACAACAAAATGGAAAAACAGGACTTTGTCCGCCTACATTGGTCATTATGCCACAATCCATTCATAAATCACATTTAAGTGATAAACATAAAACCCTAACTAGTCACTTCTACTAGATCATCTTGAAGAAGAAGAAGGGTGATGAGCTGAATCTGACGAAGTAGCCCGAAAATCACTTTCACTACTCTGGCTAGTAGGCTGAGAACCTGAAAAATACATACTTGGAACAACAGGAACTCGAGAAGTAGAAGATGACGATGGAGAAGATGAAGAATACTGGAATGTAGTAGAAAACATGGATTGGTTTAACAAACTTAGAGATGAAGGCCCCCTTTGAAAATCACCATTCAAGAAATATTGAGTGTTTATGTTACTATTGCTATTAGATAACTGAGTGTGAACTATTGGATTACTATTAGGGGAAAAAGAGAGAGTTGAAAGAGTATTAGGAGAAATAATACTAGAAACAGAATTCGTGGGAAATGTGCCCGTCATAAACTGTTTTTCCGTTGAAAATACCATATTATTTTCCACGGAATTCGTAGGAAATGTGCTTGCCGGAGACTGTTTTTCCATCGAAAATCCCTGATGGGGGATTGAAGAAGTAGGCAAGAGCCTAACATTTTCAGGGAAGTTGAGTTTGGCTTTGCTACCTCTAAATTTAAGAGCGGTTTCATCATAAGCTCTAGCAGCATCTTCAGCAGTATCGAATGTTCCAAGCCAAACCCTAGCAGCTTTGTATGGATCTCTAATTTCAGCTGCCCATTTTCCCCATGGCCTTTGTCTCACTCCTCTATATCTTCTTCTTGGTTGATTATAATCAATAACATTGGTGTTGTTATTATTATGATCATATGTTGGAGTAGTGTATATGAATGTTGCTTCTGTTGTTGGTGTGTTGCTTGCAATACTTCTATTAATGCTTGAATCTTCACCACCTATTAACATAAAACACAAATTTAAGGGAATGTCTAGTTGTTATATATATATATACCTTGTTAGTATAAATGTGTTATCAGATTTTTCAAAAGATATCTATGTATAAGCTTTGTTATACTGTGAAATTTATAATTTTAAAAAATAAAACATGTTACCTGTTCATCAAATAAAGATAACTTGATAGTCCAAAATGAAATTCCTTTTGCTTCATATTTGATTATATATACTACAAAATGGTCTATAAATATAATAATATCTTTATTATTAGTAGTAGTATTATATATAAGGACTAGGCTCCTTAACTATACTCTGAAAGAACATAAAAAAAAGTAAATTAACTAACATGACCTAAAGTAAAATTTGAGGCTAGAGTCTTCATGTTATCTTGCATGGATTTACAATACATACAATATTGACATGCTAGTTAGTTTTTGATTACTTCTAGATGAAGAGCAGCCGCTTCTAAATAAAGCGGGGTTATATTACATCAATAATAACTGCATAACTCACCTCCAAATAAGGTAATAAACTCTATCATGTATAGATTAAAAAAAAGGAATGAAGTGTCAAGAACACACTTAAAGTATTCTAATTTAATATTTTGAGTTTCATACTTGAATTATCACTAAATATTTATCGAAACATAACTCAACTATTTGTTTTTCACTTTTTCTACGTGAACAATGGTGATATTTCAGGTAGGAAAAGTAAACAAATGATAGTTAAGGCGCAGTTCAATAAACATTTGATCTAATGATAGTTCAGATAGAAAACTCACATATAAACCTCATAGTTCAGATACGAAATTCAAAAAACCGAGATATTTCAGTATGTTTTCCAAATTTAGTCCTACACACGAAATAAAATACTAAGAAGCAAAGTACAGAATTATTTTGCATACCTGTTGATGAACTAATAATATCTGACAAGAAATATTGCTGCTCTTCACGTCCTCTTTTTTCTCCAACACCTCCAGAAAATTCATTCAAAGATGAAGAACCAATAATATTATTATTATTTTCTTGATTTAATATTCTATCTTCACCAGTAATGACACGTGTCAATGCAGAAACCATCACAGACATCTCTTCTTCTCTATTAATATTCCCAGAAAACATCACATTAATATTATTATTATTATTATTATTATTATTAATCCCACCTTCTTCTTCTTCATCATCTCTTATAATTGCCTTATAATTCCCTTTCTTTCTATAATTCGCCACCTTGAATATACACATGTAACACACAAAAAGAAGAAGCTAGTTGTATATATAATAGTATTAACAAATACTACTACTATATATAAAATGACAAATTTAAATATCGATAGTCTGATGTACTAAACATTCCGTAGGTTCATTCCGGAAAATTCGCACCGCAAGAGAAATAGATAGAAAACAAATTGAGTTTCAAGAAAGTTGACAAGAAGTAGCAAATTAAGTTGTTTTTATTTTAAGGATTCCTTGAACAAACCGTTATATATAGAGAGATTTTAGGCAGCTGAAGTTGGGAGTTGAAAGTATACTAAAAAACAAAAGAAAAAAAAAGTAAACTCGAATTTTATTTTATTTTTATTATAGAAAACTTAGGTTTATAAAGAAAATTAAATCAAATCTACAAGAAGTACTAGAATCGGTTGGTCAACTCATGGGCTAGATAGATTTTCTATCAAGTTGAACAAATAGTTAGTGAGAACTATTACACAAAGGTTTGACTATATATATATATATATATAATATTTAAATATTTTTAAATTTAGAATTATAATAACATTATGTAAAATGTTATTAACATATATAAATAATATAATTAGTATAATTTCACAAAATATAATTTTAAAAGTTAATATTAAGTATGAATTTTTATTTTTATTTTAAAAATAAATTAAAAAATAAGATACCTAAATTAAAACGGAGAGGGAATATTATTTTGGAGAAGCTAAGTGTGAAGAGTAAGTGTGAAGGGAGATGTAATAAATTGAGGATGAGAATCTTTAGCCCTTGTTTTTTTGTCAGTGGGCGTTAAGTCCAATATTGGCTAAAGGCCGACATGAACAACCCATTCCTTTTTTAAAAAAAAATAATTAAAAAAAATCGTTCAATAATCGATATCTGCATTATAATTTGAGTTAAGATAAATTATATATATTTTTTATATTTAAATTATTATTATCTATGTGTTAAGACACAATTAATTGAATAGCTGCAAAAGAGGTGTCAAATAGCACTGTACGTGAATAAATATTTCCACTTGAATAAATTAAAACATATTTAAATTATCATATTCGATTGAATTTCATACCTTACCTATGAAATGTTTTCATATCGTTACATATCTAAATTATTAGTTGTCAGGAACAGTGAATCTATTTTTAAGAGAGTTTCAACTATCAGACATCTATATGATAAATTAATTTTAAATATTTGACTAATTCAGCAGTAAAGTGATATCTTTAATTATATATATATTGTGATAGTTCTAAGTATGTGATAATTCAAGCATATATCATAATAATTTTTATTTATTTATTTATTAATTTATTACTCGATATTTAATATTTATTGTGAAATTTTGATTAATCTAATTTTGTACCATATAAGATACGGAAAAGTGCTTGAGACCAGCATGGGCCACGTTATTTGATTTTGGTGAAAAGATCAATTGTTTTATATTTTTACAATTTTATAAAAAATATGAATTTGAAAAAATTAAGATGACTTGGTCTTATGGGACCAAAATGATTCAAACAGGCAATATGTGAATTGTAACGATCACGAGTTAATACTATATAGTGTAATTATATAATTATGATAATGGAGACTTATCCTATAAATAGTTTTATAAGTATATTCTGGAAGACCATTGACTAAAAGATAACTCTAAAAATAGAGTAGTGACCAGCTACTGTAAATATTTTGAAAGAAATTTGTCAAATTGGTTTTCTAAATATATATATATATATATATATAGATTTTCTAGAATATTCTAAACTATAAATGATTGTATACCCTATACTCTATATTTATATTATGATATTTTCTTTTAAGGAATTCCAAAATATTTAAACCATAAAAAAACACTCATACTGTCATACATATCCAATTTTCATTAAATTAAGAAATGCAACGCGTACATTACGAATCGTGATTTCTTAATTAATTAGGTTTTTTAACTCCTTTTTAGGACCTTCCATCCTTTATAATATGCAAATTTAAATAGATACTATAATATGCGAATTTAAATTTAATCAAATAGTATTGAAACTATTTTAAAAGAGTCAAATGGGAAATCTGTAACGTTTTGCGGTGTCAATTTTTGTTGTCGACGGAGATTGACGGTGCTGACGCCGAAAGCCTTTATTAAAGAGATAAATGGTTGGTCAACGCTGATTTCAGTCAAAGTCTGTGAAATATAACGCGGTTTTGTAACTGTCACACATGCAATTTGTGTTTTTTTTAAAAAAAAATAATAATAGTCCCTCCGTCCTTTTTTTAGTTGTTAAATTTTAACTTGACATACTTATTAATGAAATAGAGTATTAAAAATAACAAGAGTCTAAACTCAAAACCGGTTTAAAGTTTGAAATATTACAATTTAAATACAAATTATGTTTATAAAATATGTATTACATAAAATAAAAATTCCCTATAATTTCTAGGAATCACTACATAGGCCGTAGCCTATGGAATATTGTCATAGTTTTTGTGTTTATTTATGATCATTGGAAAACAATTAGGTTAATATTTTTATTTAGTTATTTATGTTTTTACTTGAAATCAAACTTAATAAATATTATAAAGATAATTTTATTTACGAATTTGATTAACAAGTCGTAACACTAACACCATGTAATATTATCGTGTCGATATTTATGATAATATTTCTAAATTATAATTTAATTAAAAAAATTATAAAAATATACTTTTACGAAAAGAGGGCTAACCCGACAATCCCGTGACGGCCTACGTACTTGTGGGCTGGGCCGACCATTTTTTGGCCCACATAAAAAATGGGCTAGCCCGGCCTGACCCTTCAAATTTCAAAGTTGTATGGGTTAGCCCGGATGGGTGGGCCAACCCATATTGACAATTCTAATTTTATCCCTATTAATCAATAGAATCTTAAACATATTTATTCATTAGTATATTTTTCAAAGATATTAACTCAATATTAATAAATTGAGGGCATAGTAGAAAGAATAAAAATTGTTCTTTCTTGACTTGTCAAAAATGATAAGTAAAAAGGAAAATCACATTAGAAAATATTTGACAAGTAAATAGGGAGAGAGTATATACATATATATAATCGTAGTGTGGTGTTTACTTCAATTTGCATACATTTAAATTAATTTTACTTGCTATATTTCATTAGTATAAATACTACATAACTCTGTCTAACAAACATGAAAATAAGAAGAAATTATTTAGTGTATGTAATCGCCTTCGTTGAGAATTGAATATAAACTTACATAATTTTTAATGTATTTTATTGAGCACTAAACTAATTTTGGTGCAAAATAAGAGATGTAATATAAGGATTTTTAAGAGATTATTTATCCTAGTATTATTCTCGTCTAAAAGTTATATCGAATGAAAGTTCGAGAATGAGTATCTGTTATTGCGAGCAATTTACTCTTTAAAGTGCATGAATTTTTTAAGGTAAATTAAAATTAGTCGAATTCCAATTATAGTGAATACTAATTAGAAAATCAAAAAGAAAAAATTCCTCCATATATTGCAAGTACACTACTCCAGAGAGTAATATCCTCATTTTCAATTTGTTTATGAAATAGCTTGATTAGAGATAAAATTTTAATAATAAATAAAATCATTTTAAAACTTAAAATTTTAATATTATAAATAATATTAAAAAAATAATTTATAATATTAAATATATTATAAAATTTTGTGTGGCCATTTTTTTTCTATTAATGTATATACATTCTTGGGAGTTACTTAGACTTCTGTTTTGTTCTTTTCCTTCTTCTTTTTTAATGATAATTATGTTTCCGAAATTTTTTTCATCATATTGAATAAACATAAGTCCACTTGTATTAGATGTGCATGCATCAGACTTCTTCCCCAACCCTAAAAAGGAAGAATATAATCTATTCACGAGAAAAATGATAAGCCTAATGCTTACTAATTATTCAAAAAATAAAAATATTGTATTTGGTTATAATAACAACGACATGTTCAGTCCAATTTCGCAACGAAGTTTGACAAAGGTGAAATATATATTTAGTGTATTTTATTTTTGTGAGACAGAAAAGTTATTTTCGATAGTTATTCAGAGAAAGATAGCAAAAAGAAAGAAAAAAAAAACAGCAAAATAACAAGATAAAGAGTAAAATGAAGCAACATATAGTAAAAAAAAAAACATTGAACAATAAAAAATTATGCGATTATTAAACACTGCTACTAGTAAGAAGAAAAGGATATGGGGCTATCACCTTGCCTATCCCACCAAATGAGTGACCACACTCGACCCTCTACTAACTTTTCACTCTTATTTTCGATCTTTGTATAATCTTCTTATTTAGGATCATATACTCAGTTATGTATCATGCATGTCTTGGTTAAACGCCTTTTACCGATATTTTTTTGACTTATTTTTATCTCTTCTAATTTTTGTTAAGTCAAACCTTTCTCACACCTATTAATTAATACAATTATTTTCTTTTGTATGTACTTATATAAAACGAATATTTCAAACTTAAATCAATTTTGTCCACAAATTTGAATTGACTTTTTAAAGTAATAATTATGACTCACGAGTCATGAGACATGAATTGTTCCATATGTATTAGCTAGTTTAGGTCCAACTTTATGAATTTTTAGCCATAAAATAATTGAATTCAAATAAACTAAAGCTTTATTATTTAAATTGCAAAATATATCAAATTTGATTTCATCTTGATCTGAAAATTCCTAAACATAACAAATTAATTAATCAAATAAAGTCAACGCAAATAATTAAAATAAAAAACACAATATGATGTTTTTTTGTTAATATATACATGATTACAACTTATAGGAAGTATAAATGTATATGCAACTTGTAAATGTTTTATTTTAATATAAAGAATAAAAATGACTCTAAACTATTAAAAATAGAGTAATTATATATGATCACTTTTTTTTTTGGAGGGGAGGGAGGGGAGGGAGGGGGGGGGGGGGGGACAAAATTGCTCTTACGGTTAGTCAAGTGAAGCTAATATACCCTTTGAACTATTAAAAATTAAAGAATTATACTTTTTTGTTAGCTGTTAGACAAAAAAAAAGAAGAATTTATCGTTAATCAAATGATACAATTATGCCCTCTTTTTATAATGCGAAAAAGTTCTACGTTAATACTATTGTGTAATTATTTTTACAAGTTGCAATAAGTAATTTACCATATTTTGCATGTTAAATAGTCA